ATCATGCAACGGGTCGGAGTTTTAGCGAGTTTTCATAATTTTTAATGTCGTTTTTAGATTACTTCTTGTTTTTTTCAACCCTCGAAAAAATAAGGTTGCGAAAGTTTGCGAAACATGGGGTTTGGTGAGCTGTTTGTTGTTGAGATATCCCGACTAATTCCGTGTTTCCCTTCGATCGCCAGAAGTGGCAATGTGTTTTCTTTCCCCGTTGAATGTCGATCATTTATCAGTGTTTTTGTCTTGGCGCCATTGTTTTTTTATGCTATAACCGGAACAACTCGGTCACGTGATCTCCCGGAGTCGTCCGATTGACTCCGAAAATGACCGATAGTCGGAGATAAACGTTCATTTGCGTAAATCGGCTTATTTTTTAATGCGACAAAATAAACAGTCAAAATAAACATTCGACATCGCGGCAACTATCATAGTTCAAAGGAAACGAAGTGGTTGTTCTTCCTGGGGTTTATAGTTCCATGATTAAACAGACTGATTACCATCCAACAAAGTTTCTGCAATGATTAAATCACTAGAAAGGAGATGATGAAATTGAGGAAAATATTTCACAGTTTGTCTAATTTCATAATAATAACAGTGAACACCAAAGTCAACTTTTGCCTTCATTCACAGAATGAAAATATTAAAAATGTTTTCATATATTTTTTTTAAAAATTTTAATCAAAACTAACCAATGGGAAAAGTATGTTGATTTGGGAAGAAATTATAGAAAAACAAATAAATGTTGACGGGAAATGATAATAAGATGTTTAAAGGGTTCAACACCAAAGTTATTTATTTTTTTACCTTTCACAGAATTAAGCTACATAATTTTTATTTGGACATGTAGGTAATGGGAAATTACGATCATTCAGTTCAAAGTAAATGAAATTTTACAAAACTTAGAATTTTATGGAATTTAACACTTGGGGAGGTGGAATAATATGTGACTTGTATCGAATTCATAAGCTTTTCACTATTTTTAATATTAGCTCAAATTAAGCTTCACCCTTTTTGTCGACATTATTTTGTTGCAACATTTTTCACATTTTTATTCATTTTTCTATAATTTCTTTGTTATAATTTTGGACCAAATACACATAACTTACATACAGGTCTTGATGAAATTTTTTGAAAAAAATTAAGAGGGATTAATTTGGAATTGGTGACAAAAATTGGCTTTGGTGTTTAAATAGTTAAACAATTGCTTCATGAAAATTTCATTTCTGTTTGATATAAATAATATCCAACATACTACTTTTTTTGTAGGAAATTTGATAAATTTATCAAATATTTATGAAACAATTGTTTTACTGTTGTATGGTGGTGTATTGTGTATCATGACACAAAAGAGTGCTAGCAAGCAAGTGCAGTTACTCTGGTTTATTGTACATATCCTGACACAGCACAATGTGAGGACATACCTAACAAGCCAGCAACACATTATATTAATACCATTGTGAACTTTAACCCTTTCGGTATCACTACATTTCGGCTATGGTGAAAGCTGAGTTTACTGCTAGGTTCATTACACCATGTTAATGCAACTTTGTTTATGCATTAGCTGTAGACCCTTTTCATAAGTCTAGCGCCCCCACAGTTTTCAGTGGGAGAGGCCTTTCTGGTGAAATTCAGAAAGAGGCTCCTAAGAAAACTTTTTGCTTTGGAATAGTACTTTCCTATGCACTATCTTCCATAAGAATCTGTGAGGGCAACATATTATAGTTTCACCAAAATTAAAAAAAAGAATTGATTTTCAAATCATAGTGGAAGGTGACAAATGTATTGAAGAATGTAGCAATGAAAAGGTTACATGCAAAGGAGCCCAGAATTTCTCTGAGACAATCCTCATGGTCACTTTATGGTAAAAATAAACAAAGCAAACAGCATACTATGAAATGAAATGCAAAAAGCGTACTTACATTTAAACAGTACTTACTTTCTGGGCAGACTATGGTAGGACAAGCACACTCATTATCTCTTTCATTTTCAACGACGCGGCAATCAGGGCGTACTTCAGGACAGACGTTCTCCATGCATGATATGCGACCTTTCATACAGGTACAAGTAGCACAACCTGTTGATATCATTTTTCTATTCCATGTATGAAGGTCTTCAATGTTAGTGTTGGTGTGGATGGAATATGTCTCACCATCACTGTGTCTAATGTCCCCACGGGCACACATGTCCTCTGTAATACACAAGGGTACTAGTTATAAGAGCATGCAACTCCAGTGATATTGGATTACACAAATTCCTGCTGCAAATTTTCTTCTTCCGTAATCATTGTTCTACTGACTAAGATATTTAGAAAAGTGGACAAGTTGACGGATAATGGAACATCATTTGAGCAGCAAAAAAAGATCTTGCTTTCTCGCTCTCAGTTATTTGTGTTTATCCTTTTCACCACCAGACTTTTTTGCCCAAATTTGTCTGCACATTTTTCTTGTATTATTTTTTTTGTATTTAAATATATTTTATTGGGCTTTTCATCAAAGGTTACATAAGTATGAATTACATTATTACCTGGAATACATCATGTATTATTGCTCTGTTTAGCAATGAAACTTTCAATGTGGTATATTCTTTTCAGAAGTTGAATAAACTGTGTAAAGTTTGGCAATTTGTTTTGCATTTTAGCATAGTAAACATGTTTTCTTACCAGAAGGCAGATAAAATTGACTTGCCAGCTGAATATATTCCTGGAAATGAACCCGAATTTTGGAGCCAACAGACAAAATTTGAGTCAATTTTAAGTTTTTATGCAAAAAATTTGGCTGTATTTGTCCCAATCTTCCGAAGGAAAGTTTAGACTATTTTGTGAATTTGTGATGAAAAGAGGGAACTGGTAGTGAAAAGGTTAACTTCTATTGAGTTTTCAAAATGCTATTATCAAAGGTGCAGAAGAATACAGGCGCGCATTTGGCAATATACATATATGATACAAATGAAATCATACAAATTGACAAACAACAAAATGATATTTTTTGGGAATAACTTTCAAATATTTGACATTCAATCACAGTACATGTAAACCATTATGAGTGGATGAAACTTACTTGTTCCACGGCAGATTTTTACTGGGCAGCACTGTCCTTCTTCGTATACAATGTGACAGCCTGGTGTTTGGGTAAGCATTGGACATTCAATTGAAGTACATGTAGTTAAACCATTATGGCAAGTACATATATCACAGTCACTCTCCAGCCAAGTCTCACCATTTGTATGCCATATGCCACTGCTGTTACACATTGGTACTGCAATCAAGAAGACCCAATTATTTCACAAAAATTGTTATTGTAAGAATGCATCCTGAACATCCCTGTTCATTCCAGGCAAGCCAACAATGCCGTAGTAGTGTGAACAAAAATTTGCAATTTTCTAAGAGTTCATGCGGCCACATGTAGTATTTTCAGTATTCTCGGAGCTAGCAGGTAATATGGAAGATATCACTTACCGTGATGGTATGTTTGACACGTGATTTCAGGACAGCATTGATTTTCTACAAATCTGGCAGTACATCCTGGACCCGGTTCTTGACAGTTGGTTACCAGACAGTTAGTCACTCCTTGGTCACATGTGCATGTGGAGCAAGTATCCGGATGCCAGCTCTCACCATGGTAATGGGTCTCACCATTATGTGAGCAGGTGGGTTCTGAAATCATTAAGGTGGACAATGTTACCGTGTTAATGGATGTTTCAGCAGGTGATGGTTTGTACATGTATTACACTTTCAAAATTAATACAAAATTCAGTCAGAATTGAGTTTGAAGTAAGTACATGATTTGTGTTTGAATTAAATGTTTTAAATGGAAGGATGAAAGTAGGATCTTAGAACACAATTACTGCATAGTACTTAATTATCTGCTGTGTTTTATTTTCTCTTAACAGCTAAATTACAGCAAGTCTCAGAAGTATTGGGGCAGCCAATTTGCAAACTCGCTAGCGAATTGGCTAACTGCTTTGGTTTTGACTAAACAGTTGGTTTTCGAATCTCACTGGCGCCGTCTTGTGGTCACGCCCACTCTGGGTCAATCTATTTAACAGTAGGGGACATTTGTCATACTTCAGGAGCTAATCAGCGATGGTCTAGCAGTTGGATGGCGATTTCGCTTTCAAATATACCAGTGTACTATGTTCTGATAATGAGGTGTTCGTATACAAGTGGTTGCCCACGATACATGAAGTCAAATTTTATTAGTCGTTGGCTTAATGTTACCGCAACGAATCGTTTGGATGTGAAAGTTTATTTTCTTCTTGATTTGTAGGAAACTTTCTCTGCCTGTCTTTTTATTTAGTTCCAAGCAGTGTTCAAGATGGCTACTCACATATCGGTGGATTAATCACATTCATCATATTCTCAGGCTGACCAAATAAACTACTTTCACATTATCACACCTCGCAAAGCAAATTATTCAGGGGAATCCAGACATGTACCAGGCTGAGTAAAAGCATTTTATGTCCCCTAATGCAATATAGACTCGTCCAGAGTGGGTCCGATCACAAGTCGGCGCCAGCGAGATTCAAAAGCCAAGTGTTTAGTCAAAACCCAAGCAGTTAGCCAATTCGCTAGCGAGTTTGCAAATTGGCTGCCCCAATACTTCTGAGATTTGCTGTAAACCCATTGAATCTGCAAATTTAACAAAAGAATGTATTGTTTTTTTCTTCACAATCAGTAAAATTAAAGCCTAGTAACTGCAACATCAAATCCATTAAAATTAAACACACAATTTTACAGCAATTTTTCTACAGCAATTCACTTTGTTTCCATTTAATGGATTTTATGCGACATGATAAATGCAATTTGTAATGAAATTTAATTAATTTTTGCCCTAAACACAAATTGAAGTAATAACGATGTAGTAATCATCCTTCAAAATCCCATTGCAGTTTGACCGCGGGAACATGGTTGGATGTAGAGATAACTCACCTTTGTTGCATACTATTTCAGGGCAGCATTTTCCATCTACATACATCTGTGTACATCCACGAAGTATTGGGTTCTCAAATTGAGGACAGTCTGTGGATCTACAGATCATCTCACCATTGCGACACATACAATAGTTACATGATGACTGCATCCATGCACTACCATGTCCATATGTTTTACCATCATCATGACAGCTTGAATCTCTATCTTCTAGTCATCAAGGGATAAAAATATGATAGTCAATTGACTTTAATCCTTATACAGTAAATACAGTACTGACAGCTTTATTAATAAAAGTCTTAATTTCAATGAACATGTACATCTTGGTACGCAGGGCTTTAACTTTATGGAGGATAATAATAATAATAATATTGTTTATATAGAGCGGATTTGAATGTGTTAACATTTGCAAATGTCATTTGATAGATGATTCCATATTGAAGGAGATGAATGTGAGAATTATCGGTCACCATATGGTTTACTAGTAAGTCTGGTTTTTGGTACTTTGAGTAATTGCTTGTTGCTAGAGTGAAGAATTCTACCAGGATTACTTTGTTGTACGAGATCCGAAATGTATGGTGGAGTCAACTGATGTAGAGCTCTGTAAGTAATGAGGAGTATTTTGAATTGGATTCTGTGACTGGAAGCCAGTGCAACTGTTGGAGTATTGGTGTTATATAATCAAACTTTTTTGTGCGAGTAATGAGACGAGCAGCACTATTCTTGGCTCTTTGCAACAGATTTAGTTTTGCAGCTGGTAAGCCATATAGCAGGAGGAGTTGAAAGCAATTGCCTTGTTGTTGAATTCATCTTGAAGCTCTTTGATATTCCCTATATTATTCCTACATGTATATGCTGAGACCATTTTAAAAATGTTGGCCCTAGATATGGGCGTCACTCAACTTTGAAGTTCAAGCACTGGATATGCACAGGCAGGCACAATTATTCTCAAATCTCATATTATTACAAGGAACTTTTATTTTACAATTTCTTCTCCCGTCTTCAGAATATCAGTGATCATAGAGACTGTGTCACACAAAGTCATGTGAGAAACAGGCGAAATTCATGTCGTAAACACTGTTACCAGTCACTGGTAGCATAGTGGTTATCGCATCAGACACATGATCGGTAGACCCAAGTTCAAATCCTAACTAAACATCAAAAGGGTCAACCCTTACCCTGGATGAGTGTGCCACAGTCTCAATGGGAAGGCCAATTCCACTGGCCGAGATTCATTCATTAACGAATGCGACTTTGGGGGAACCTTGGTTAAGGTCCGCAGGTGCTTGTGTTCGACCGACACCAGGATAGCGCATTAAAATTGACATTTGATAGAGAGATGGCCGCACAGCCCTGTCATGTAGTCCCCAACATGAATATGACTTCTGTGGCAAAAATGCACTTGCAATTTTCACTTTCAAAACAAAAGGCAGGAAAGACAACAGTGACACTCAGGGTCCAGAACTGTCGCCTGGCACAAAAACATTTTTAAAAAAAAATTGTTTAATACATACATATGTATTAGTTTTATTTTTGATTTCACTTACCTATCTCTGAAGGACAGATGACATTTGGACAGCATTGTCCCCTAACCTCTTCATAATGGCAACCTTCAGGGAAGTTTGAGTCATTGATGTTATGGCACGTCTCTTTAGTACATGTGACCTCATTGTTACGACACATACATTGTGTACAGCTGTCAGAATACCATATGTCATTCTCATAGCGATAGTGACCTTCATGGTCGATGCAACCTGTTGAAGGAAAAGTGGAAAAGAAAGACAAATAAGTTGATATTTATTAATCAAAGGCACATGTACCCCCCAGTAGTTTTTATATACTAGTATAAATTTCGATATAAATCAAAGCTTGCCACCTAAACAAAATCACCCCCTGAAATGAAATACTTTGTTTTTTGACAAACTTCGACAAATTGAGAACAAGGCAAAAACACGCTAAGAGTTTATGAGAGAAATAAGAAAGAAACATCGATTTTATGACAAGTCATACTTACGGTCTTCACACACAACCTCAGGACAGCAACGATCAGGAACTTCTACAATCTTGCAGCCAGGTGTATTGACAGTCACTTCAGAAGAACAAGTGAATGTTGAACACAGTATTTTACCATCATGGCATTCACATTTTGAACAGCTGTCTGGGTACCAGGTCTCACCATGCATGTGACTTGTGCCATCTACAGATTCACATCGCACTATAAACAAATATCAAGTAAATCAGTCTCAATCAGTTAAAATAAACCAGTTGCCAAGTCACAGGAATAACTAAAATGAATTGGTGGTTGACTGGTGCCTCTGGAGTGTTAGTAAATTTTGATAATTGAGAACAGAAAATTTGAAATGGCAAACATTTTTTCTATTTACATCAGAAGTTTCTTTTTGCCAATTCTTCTCAAGATGTTTCATACTTTAAAAAGAAAAAATCTCAATTTACTACATTTACTACTGCAGAGTGAGCATATGCCATTGGTACATGTATAAATAATACAATAATTCGTTATTTTTAACACCTAGCCTAGATATCATCCTTTAGCATTTGTAACTTGCACACATGTAATAGAACATGCTTGAAACCATTTAATTTTTGCTACTAAGAATTTTTTCATTTTTTAATGATTTTTGAAGACAAAATTTTGTGTATGAGAAATTTTTACAAAGATTAGGGAACATTTTTCAGTCACGGATTTAAAATGGTTTATAATATTATCGTTATGAAGCTAAGCTAGCTATAATAAGTACAATGTAAAAGCTCTGCACATAAATGAAAAAGACTATGTTCAAAATAAATCTATTTTTATAATTCAGTACACAATAAATGCTACTGTTGCTCAATTTTGAAATCTAGACCCTCCGAAATGCTATTCCCAGTATTTTGAGAGGCAAATTTTGCTGACATACAAGGGTTTCAGCTTTCTTTGGCAGGCGACGCCCCTTCAACATTTTTTTTGAGGGGCGACGGCCGCTGCCACTGGGACTTTATGGTTGTAGCTGAGCCTGAAAATTATGAAAAGTACGGGAAAGTGCACTTAATGCTTGATACTCACAAAATTCATACTTTGTCTTTTCACAGTTGAGTGTAGGGCAGCATTGACCTTCTACAGGAGTAGGAACACAGTCGTATTCCAATTTAGGACAGGCAATTTGGGTACACTTGGTCTGACCAGTCAAACACTTGCAGGTAGTGCAGGTGTCTGGTTGCCATATGTCGCCATGGATATGTGTCACACCATTATATTCACAAGTTTCAGCTGAAATAATAAGAGAAGCTGTTCTGGTTATTTTGTAATAAAACAGTGAAAGTTTTAATACTATATCATGAATATTTTAGTTAATAACAAAATATAATTGTTCAGTTTAAAATATCATAGCCACATCCTCATATACCAGCACTCACATTTCTTTCTTAATTTTTGTGTAAATAGCTGTAAGTTAAGTGGCACTATTGTACGAAACAGGGCAAAAGAAGTTAAAAACTGATCTGTGATTCTGATATTTCGTAATAGTTACTAAGCATGCTACTAGAACACCTATACGTCATCTAAAAGCTTAGAAATAGATGAATACAGTAGTGCATATGGCATACTAACTTTAAAATAACTTTCCCTTGTTGCTACATTAAGGGAGTTTGCGGGATTAGGTACTTACTTGAAGTAGGATTTCTGCATACCATACCACCACAAGGTGAGTTACAGCATTTACTTCCAGTATTACAGTCATTATCAGTATTACATTGGTATTCAGTAATACATGTATCAAAGTCATTATCTGTCCAAGCTGGACATTCACCAACTTTAACTGTAATTTAAAAGTCATTGAGTAAAACATTTATACCATATTTGCTCTATTAAAAGTGCATCTCTAATAGTACTGTAAAATCTGTATTAGAAGCTGCGACTTCTATTAAAATGGTACAATGCAACAGATAGAATGCGGCTTCTATTAGAGTTATTAGAGTTCTATTATGAGAAACAATGAAATGTTGGTTCTCAATTGTTTGAAAAGAATAGGTGCGACTTCTCACAGGGATGCGGCTTCTAATACAGATTTTACGGTAGTGCATACATGACCCAAAAATGGCTTGTTGTTGTGAAAAAAAATTAAAATTGTGTCATGATAAAATTTTCTAATTTTCCCCAAGACGAGAAGCTAAACTCTGATTGAAGTAGAAAACATTGTTACCTGTATTCCAGACGTCAACACAGACACGATTACATCCCTGCATGCAGCATTTCTTACTACCAGTACACTGGTCATCAACTGAACATTCATGATTGATGATAGTCTCAGAGTTACACGTCTCAGAGTTCACTACATTGTGAGGACAACGACCATATTTTTCTAAATGAAACAATGAAATATATTAATCATCAATAATTCTCAATTTCAGTCATTCAATAAATAATTGATGTTTATTTAATATGGTTGCTATGACAATGTCTTATTAACCCCTGTAAAATTTTCACTGCGACTTCCTTTATTTTAAAAATGTCATTATTTTACAATTTTGAAAATGTTGTTTCTTGCTAAATTAAGTTAAATTAATATTATAGTACATACACCGGTATATCGTGAACAACAACTTGAAGCATATTTAAAAAGTAGATATTTTTTATCTATTAATTTTGTTTGCATGTGTATAAAACACGTTGAATTCCCAGTTATTTAAAAAAGACAGCACCAACATGTGACAAGAAGTCTGAATTAGATGCATGATCGTTAAAATCTGGCAATCTACCTACCCATGGTTTTAGGGGGAGTACACACACGGCCACATCCATTGCTGCAACATTTGTGATTCTCAACACATTCTGCATCAGTAATACACTCATTAGCATATTCACATTTCAAGAAAGATGGTGCTGGACACGTACCATATTTCACTATTAAAGAGACAATTAGAATATACATTGTAGAACAGTGTGCAAATAAATAATAATGCACTGGAAATTATTGCGATTTATTCTGCAGTGATGTGTTTTTGTTTTCAAGTAACAGGAAATATTGGGAATGTAGATAAAGCCAAAAATAATAAAAGGTTTGTTTATATATATACCCCTATACATGTAGTTCAGTTAAATTTCTATATTAATTTAAGTACATTTTTGGCTTCAGCCTGTTTGTTTACACAGTTGAGCAATGTAATGTAAAATAATCAAAATTCTGCAATTCTTACTGGTTTTTGTAGTGTGTGCTGTTGTTGTTGTTGTTGTACAGCGCATTCCACATCCAGTCTCACAGCATTTACGATCTGCAGTACATTCTTCATCAAGTCTACATTCGTTGCGTTTCTCATTAACAGTGCAGCTTTCCCAAGGCACTGGACACGTTCTTGAGTTAGCTACAGAGAACAAATTTATTTGGTACACAAATATTGAAATGAAGATGAGGTTACTGAAAATATAGAAAACCTGCTTTTAAACAGTTTTTACAATATATGAAAATTAAGCCAACCCCTGATGATTTGCATCTAGTTTTACGGTTGTATAGGCATCGCTGTTACGTGAATGATTGTAACAGCTAAGACGCATATTCCGTGTCATGTTGCCTGTATTTATTTGACATGATTTTGAATTGAACTGTCAAAAGCAAATAAATGACATAATTGTTTTATTATTATCACATACAAGTTTTATCACACTCCAGTTTTAATCCAAAGCCTTTAATTCCACGCAACAAATTGCCTAGTAGCATGTAACATAAAATCTGATTGGTCGCTGGTCCGAGAAGACTTGAATGCCAAGTGCAGGTAATAGAGACGAAGTTAAGTAGTAGTTTCAGAAGAAAAATAAAAACATAAACACTTACTTGTGGTAGTTGGCAGCGTACATGTTTTACCGCAGCCATTGAAGCAACACTTGCTGTTTCCATGACAATTGTAATCATTGATACACTCCACAGTACATGAACCAATAGTATCCAAGGTGATAGCTGGACAGTTTCCATGTTTCTCTGCATCACAAAAAAAACAGCACTTTCATATTATTTAGTTCTTGTTATTAAGAAATTATATCTCTCTATACCACTATTGTTTGAAAATGACAAATGACAAAAAAATCTCAAGAAACACTATTTTAGTAGCACAGCCCTGCACGCATTACACTTGGCATTGCTATGTAGCAAACTCTCGTTTGTATGGTACTTTACGTTCCTACATATCAAAATCTTGCATGCACAGAACTTGACTTGCTACTTCCATAGTTCATTTTACTACAGAGAACAGAGATTACAATCTTTGGTTTGCTTATACTAGAACAATGAAGCCCAAATTAGTTTGGGTCAGTTTTCAGTATACATACAAGATATGCTTCTAATGGGACAAATACTGTATTTTCTCTAGATCTATTAAAAGCACATCTCTAAAAAGAAAAACATACAAACAACAAGCAGCCTCTCAGCTGAGATATAGTATCAATGCAATTGGACTTGAAGAAGTCGAAAATATCACTTTTTACCAAAAATGACAAAAATAATCATCAAAATTAGAGAATTAAAGATAACAAAGTCAACAGCTGAGCTTAAAAAATTGAATGTCTTGCATACTGGATCATTAAAATATGACTTACTTAACCATAGATACACCTTTGTCAGGTTGTCTAAAAAACCCGGTATATTTCGACATATGGTTAACGTTTGTTCAATATAAGTGATATTGTATTAATGGACTTAGTTTGTATATTATTAATATTATTTATTTTATTATAATCGCAATTTGCAGTTGTGTGTACACTCATTCTAATAATGTGGATGAAATAATAGGCAGAAAGCGCATGTTTACGATGTTTCCGCTTTAGAGCGCACTTCACGTCTTGGGCCGATGTGTTACACTTAAGTCCTGTGACTTCCTTGTTGCTTCCAAATATTTTTTATTTCATGCTCCAGTTCCAGTTCCAGTTCCGGGTTTTTTGGACAACCCCTTTGTCATGATGTATCGGTACATGTACATGTATGGCACATGTCAAAATATAAATGTGTATGATGTATAAGCTTTGTCATACCTTGTGGTCGTGGACTGACACAGACAGATGCACATCCATTATTACAACATTTACGTGTTCCGGAACAGTCACCATCCTTAACACATTCGGATACACATGTAAGAGGCATGTCAGTGCTCAAAGGACACACACCTTGCTTTTCTACAAAAAAAAACAATGTACATAAACATTTTCAGTAAATCTTTTCTCCTAGAGTTGATGTACCGGTACCAGTAATTCAGCTAAAACAATATTTTGAATAGACAGTTACAGGTTACATGTTCGTATAATAATACGCTTTATTTATATTTTTTTGTCATGTGATTGAAAATGATATCACCTGATATCACTTTATATCACTGTAGAAAAGAATTTTTGGGTGTTTTGTATGAAATTTATTCTAACTGATTTTTGATGAGTTGAATGTAAAATACTAGTATAGAAAAAAAGTACCATGAAAGGGTTAATTATTCACTTATTTTTCTGACTGGAAAATGTGCTATATATAAATTATTTGAGCATAGAACGCATTATCTAAATGATAAAACCGTGAATTTAAAACCCACTAAATATGCCTGAAATTCTAAATCAGTGAAATTTAAACCCAGTGAAAATTAGTAAATTCGTTAGATTTTATTGCCACTGAATCATCCCTTCAATGAAAATAGCGAAAATAAATTCCAAGTGAAAATAAAGTATTTTACAGTATTCTTAGAGGTGGTTGATACTCATGGATTGATAGGGTGTATTATCCATTCACTTTTGATGCATAGGTAATACTACCACATGATGTCATTTGTAACAACCAGCTCTACCAATAAGTGATATTAGGTGATAACAATCAACCATGTACCGGTATATGTCATCAAATTCATTGTAATTGCTTTTAATCACTATATGCTAGTTTTCCAAATTTGTATCAATCAAGATTTCACTGGTAAATAAATATCTGATATTAAAAACAGTGAATCGGGAAAAACCTACCAAACAGTACCTATGTTGAGCTATCACTAAGGTCCTACTGCGTATACACACAACTGCCACATTGATACCAAGTATTAAAGACACTGATTTCTACTGGCAATATTTTTGAAGACTGCATTCGTTAAAGAGATTGTCAATACATTTTGTGTGTGCACTTACTGATTTCACAGTCAACTTTTTCCTCATTCATCCAGAATTCAGCTTTGCATCCATCACACATGTTAGGTTTGCAAATAGCTTCTGGATAAGCAGTACATGTGACACCATCACAAGGATTCCTGGCACAATTCCAAGCACGTTCTCCCTTGCGGCATTCTATGAAAACCAACACAGATATTTCAAAACATAATACTAATTTGTTCTGTATTTAATCTAGGAGATGAGACGAGGGATGGAAATACAGAACCTAATTCAGGCATTGTCTTTTGAGAATAGCCTGGGAGCTAAAAATGAACACAGTAATGTGAGTGTTTAGGGAAGCTATGGTATCGATTCAGAATACATGTACTGCAAATACTTTTAGCTAGAATTATTTTTGTTGAAAGACATATTTGCTATTTCGTATGAAGTTCATTTTTCACTGATTTTGATTTTCACTGATTTCACTGATGAGTTGAAAGTAAAATATGTGGAAAAAAGTGTTTTCACTGGATTTTATTTTTACTGATCCATCCCTTCAAAAAAATATATTCCAAATGAAATTAAAGCATTTTTCAGTAATATGATTCAGTAGATGTGATGATTAGATTTCTGGGTCTTGGTTTGGGTGAGTGATAGTCAAGTGTAGGGTCTTAAGTTTTTTAGGTTTTATAGTGTGAAGATTACAAACTGCAATACTCACCACAAGACACAGTTGTGATGTGTCCACGTGTACCTGCTACCTCATTTCCACATCTATCAGTACACCAGCAAGTGGATCCATGACATTGACGTTTTTCATATAATCCCTCTTCAGTACACTCTACACGATGTCTACCAAGTAAACCTGGTGCACTACCTCTCAGCTGCTTTTTCTTGTCATGGCAGGGAGTCATTTTGGGTTCTGATAAATAAAGAAATCATATTAGGATTCTGCATGAAAACATAGTTGCCGACCTAAGATCAAAGTAAATTTCATGATGTCTATAAAATCACAATGTTAGATCATTTATTTTAACACACACTGAAACAAAAATAAACATTTTGATGTTGAAACTCCTTGCCTATATGCAAATTTATAAAAAAGATGACACGGCCCTGCAAGTGTTAACAATGAAGTCACATGTTAAATTGTACAATATGAATAGTCATAGTAAGGTTTTCTCCCTAAATTTGTAATAATTTTAGGCAATAGTAATTCTTAATTCCCAATTTATGGATAGATGCGATGTACCCGGTAGTTTTTTTGCACATGTGTACTTATACAAAAAAATATACAAAAAAAACAATGGACAGAAAGTCCTTAAGAAGACAGCGGCATATTTGAAACAATTTTTAAAATATTGCGAAGTGAGTGTAGGTGACAGCTATAAGAAATGAAACATGAGTAATGTGAATGCTATCAGTTTGGGAAACAGGAATTAGTGTTAATAATTGTACTAAGTTTCCCTGTTCTGATCAGTTCATCTAACCCTGGCAATAACTACATGTATGAACAGTGTATCACAATTGTGTGATCTTGATTCAGATAAATACGTCAGCTAGTTCATTCAGTTTCAGGACAGAAATACAAGGTTTCCTGTGCCGATTATATAAGACCTTGTTTCAGCCAATCAGATGGCTAGATTCAGATGAAGCATGTTTTAATAACTAACAGTAAACTTAATAAAACAACAATAAGTACGGTAAAATCTGTATTAGAAGCTGTATCCCTAATAGAAGTTGCCCCATTCTTTTTGAATAATTGAGAACCAAAAATTCATCATTTCTCATATTTGTAGGTGCTCTAAAAGAAGCCGCATCCCCTCTATTTGCATTATACCATTTGAGAAGCCGCGGTTTCTAATACAGATTTTACAGTAAATCAATTATGTAAATGTTCATATCGCTACATTTACTGTTTTCAACAAAAATAATCAATATACAGTGATGTTGGGATTATAATGATATTTACAGAAATGAAACGACAGAATAATAAACTTACCGCATGTCAAATCGTCCATTGTTTGAGTTCCATCAATAGTAGAGCCACACCTATCAACACACCAGCAAATACCAGTAGATGGGTTACATTGCTTTGGTGTGTGGAATCCTTCAGAATCACAAGTAGGAACATGATGTCCATATACTGGTAAAGAAACTCCACCAAATGTGGTGGTTGGGACATGATCTTTTTCAGTCCAACAAGGAGGAGTAGCTGTTGTGGATAGAAAGAGATTGTTTCAATACAGTATATCCTGTGAACAAGGTATATTGTTTGATATATGATAAAACCTGATAATCTAGCCCTAAGAAAAATGAAAAGCCAACTGAATATGCTTAGAATTGATCTATAGGTGATTTTCCGTTCAACTGCGAGATCTCGTGAGATGCATGAAAGACGTGCGTCGAACGTCTGCCGCAAAAAACAAACAATTTGATTTTTAATCTGAATTTCTTTATTTCGTAGCTTACATTGACCGGCCGATCTTCGACAGAGGAATATTGCTTTCGAATACCCTTACTTAATCGAAATTGCCTATCATCAAATGTGTACAGCAAATTATTAAGCATGGAAAAGCCCCCAAAATATTTTCGTGTTTGTCAAATCCCATGCAATGTTTGACGCCACTACGACGCTATGACCTTTGTTTGTCCAAACTTTTACGTTTGATTTCACGCATAACGCGTGATTCTTGCAGTGAACAGAAAATGATCTATTCCCTGAGGTCTGCAAGACCAGTACAATGAAAGTCTAGTTATCCAAACATAGTGCAGGCCGATAAAATCTGAACCATGCAAAGTAAAATAGTCTCCACTCATTGATTATTAATATTAAATTGTGTTGAATGCCTGTTAATCAGGCTACACATGAAAACCAACACAAAAATGTGTCGCTTTTGACATGGTAGATTAGACCGGTAGTGATAATTTCACATAAGAACCAGAGATTTTACAAATATATTATTTTTAAATTATCATATAAAATAATAAAATTTCAGATGCCTGAATTTTTATAGCTCAAAGAATATTTTGAGATAATTGAAGATATCATCATGAAATGAACAAATCTAAGAAAGGTTTACTCAAGGTACCAAGTATCATTTCAGTAATCAGACTTGAAGTTTTTAAGAAGAAGTCGAAAATGTAAAAAGTTGATGTAGATGACAGATGACTAAAAATCAGTAATACGATAAGATTTGCTCGATGAAGTCACCAGCAGAGCTACCAAAAAAGCAATAATGCTTGAATCTGATTAGCTCAAAATAAATTAAAATGGAGGCTACTACTGTGCCAGTTGTGTTAAAGACAATACCTGGATCAACAGCCTTGATACAGTGAGTACCACAACCATTACTGCAACATTTCTCACCAAGCTCACACTCGCCATCTTCAACACAGTTATTTACACATGTACCAAAGGTGTCACTGCTGACAGCGGGGCACACTTTCTCAATATTACGTGAAGTACTGGTAGTGTCTAATGAATGCAAAGATAGAGTATACTTTTTAGTATTTTCTAAGAGATGTTTTGATCAATATAGTTGAAGCCTAATGATATTAGACACATTTCCTGCATCGCAATGAAAGATGTTGAACTATGTATATTCTTCTGAATAATTTTAAAAAGGTATGTAATTACGAACCTTCAAATTCAGCTGCAACACAGACAGTACCACAAGTTGTCTGACAGCATTTCTTTGTACCAACACAGTCGTTATCATTGGTGCAGTCAATGTCACATGTGGTTACTGGGAAATTAGTAACTGCTGGACACATACCTGGCTTCTCTGTGAAGAAAAAACATTAAAGAACAGCTATTGTTAATATTTCTATGATTTCCATCATTTTTCCAGTGACAATTTGGTGCAATATTTTGTACATTTAAATGGTAATTCCCTAGTCTTGAATCACGACATTCTTGGTACACCCAAAAAAGAACAGCTTGGCGAATTACTGTGTAACTACATTAGTACATAGGTAGTCAACACAGAATTCTATGTCTCCACTGATTGCCAGTAGTCTAAAATCCAGCAATTCTGAGTACACCCAAGAATGGACTGGCAGATTGCTATGTTACTACATAGTCAACACAGAATTCTATGTCTACACTGATTGCCAGTAGTCAAAAATCCAGAAATTCTGAGTACACCCAAGAATGGACTGGCAGATTGCCATGTTACTACATAGTCAGAATTCTATGTCTACACTGATTGCCAGTCGTCTAAAATCCAGCAATTCTGAGTACACCCAAGAATGGACTGGCAGATTGCTATGTTACTACATAGTCAACACAGAATTCTATGTCTACACTGATTGCCAGTCGTCTAAAATCCAGCAATTCTGAGTACACCCAAGAATGGACTGGCAGATTGCTATGTTACTACATAGTCAACACAGAATTCTATGTCTACACTGATTGCCAGTAGTCAAAAATCCAGCAATTCTGAGTACACCCAAGAATGGACTGGCAGATTGCCATGTTACTACATAGTCAACACAGAATTCTATGTCTACACTGATTGCCAGTAGTCTAAAATCCAGCAATTCTGAGTACACCCAAGAATGGCCTGGCTAATTGCTATGTAACATTGAAGTCTTACCTCTAGGTTTAGAAGAGACACACACTTTACCACATCCATTTGTGCAACATTTCTCATAATGAGAGCAATCTCTGTCAATGTTACATTTGTTGGAACACGTCTTGTCTTGGATAGAAATAGGAACTGGGCAGCTGCCATGATTATCTAAAGGTACATATAAGAACAAGATTACTGTGTATGGAAAGCAATTACCAAACGCTCAGATAAAAATACAAGCAGCCTATCGGCTGAGATAGCTCCGCTGTTAGCAATGCACATTTCAATTAAAGAACTGAAGACATCATTAGAAAATGAACAATATGTATAGTATCAAAGCAACAGGACTTACAGTTTTTAACAAGAAGTCGAAAATATCACTTTCTACCAAAAATGGCAAAAATATTCACCAAAATTAGAGAATTAAAGATATCATTACAAAATGAACAAATCTGAGAGAGGTCCACATGTAGTACCTATATCTATAATATCAAAGCAATTGCACTTGCGGTTTTTAACAAGAAGTCGAAAATATCACTTTTCACCAAAAATGACAAAAATAGTCACCAAAATTAGAGAATTGAAGATATCATCACAAAATGAACAAATCTGAGAGAGGTCTACATGTAGTATCTATATATTTAATATCAAAGCAATTGAACTATTGGTTTTTAACAAGAAGTCGAAAATATCACTTTTTACCAAAAATGACAAAAATATTCACCAAAATTAGAGAATTGAAGATATCATCACAAAATGAACAAATCTGAGAGAGGTCCACATGTAGTACCTATATATGTAATATCAAAGCAATCGCACTTGCGGTTTTTAACAAGAAGTCGAAAATATCACTTTTCACCAAAAATGACAAAAATATTCACCAAAATTAGAGAATTGAAGATATCAACATGAAATGAACAAACCTAAGAGAGGTCTACCCAAGGTACATATACATCAAGTATCAGAGCATTCAGGCTTGTAGTTTTCAAGAAGAAGTCTAAAAAGTAAAACATTGACATGGACGGACGACGACGGACAACCACTCATATGATAAGCTCCGCTCGACAAAGTCGACAGCGGAGCTAAAAAAGTTCCATTTGAATTAAAATATCATAGAACATTAGATTTTATTTTTTTTTTAATTCATTAAAATTATTTTTCTGAAATTCAGAAAAAACTCAACAGTAACTGTGATGCACACATTTCTAAATGACATAAGGTTATACCAATAATGTGAATATCACAAAGTATGCAACAAAGGCAATACATGTACAGCAACCGTAATGACTGACATGTAGCGAAGACTGATGCATCTCTATACTGGCAAAGTCCATCTTTGCAAAACTTTTTATAACTTTTTCATTGTATACTTTTTCCTGCTTGTAGTGAAAATTTAATGAGAGATTATGGCCAAAAATTTCAACCAAAAACCTTTTGCGCTGTGCAAAAGTTTGTGTTCAGTGACAAGATTATATTAGTCGTACACAATAGGACTTCTGTGTCCAATGTAAGTAAAGGAAAGTATTCAAACACATCTATTAGTGTTGATACAGCTATTTAAAGCATGGCAAAATCTATTGTTTTTTAGATTTATTTTTGACCCTTAGTGTGCAGACAGTTGAAAAAATAAATGGTAAATAGCCAAAAACAACCTTTACTAAGAAGTGAAAAAAGTTGTGATTTCAATCTAATCAGTAAATGTTCTGTGATATTATTTTAACAGCAAGATGCCCACTATCCAAGTTGCATTTCAGAATTTTAATTCCACTGGAGGAAAGAAACACCTTACAACCTACCCATTTTTGGAGGGACACACAAAGTACCACAATTATTGCTACAGCATTTGAGAGCACCACGGCAATCAGTATCAGATTGACATTCAGAGTCGCATCGATCACCAAACATGTATTTTACTTGTTCCACAGCTGGGCATGATCCAATCTTGGCTGAAATAACAAGAAATTGATATCATAAACTACTATGTTGAGCAACACAGTAGCATACAGTACAGTTCTCGCGGAAGCTTTGGCTTTTGTGGCATCATTGTCGCCTACGCATGGCTTCATTGTCGCCTCAGCATCACATCATTGTGGCATCAGCTTCGCGTCATTGAAA